ACAGTATAGCTAACATATGTTGTTAACTGTTATTTTGGGATATTAGGATGTTTTTCTTTACATATATCTTCTGCATAGCTGTACCAGAGGCATAAAGGAGAAGATAAAGTATGATTTACGTTTTGGACGCGGACAGCTCAATGCTGCGTGTAGAGCTCAGTTATTTATTTTAGAAATAGCTTCGTGCAGGACGAATCATCTCAGGTAAAATAGCATGAACCCTGCTTCTTTAACTCTGCGTGAACTCACGTCATGGTGGATTTGAAGGCGCCCTTGTATGACCCTTGTATGACCCTTGTATGACCCTTGTATGACTCTTGTATGACCCTTGTATGACCCTTGTATGACCCTTGTATGACCCTTGTATGACCCTTGTATGACCCTTGTATGACCCTTGTATGACCCTTGTATGAATTACAAGGATTATAGTTTTAGTGACCTTTTCCATAGCCATTAACTTCTACTCTGTAAGAGAAAAAGGAAAGAAAATCTTCCGTACATGGCAAACGCGAAACAGGTTTCATTTACGTGGAAACGGCAAAACGCGACCAGCAAACGTGAAAAATGGCGGGAAAACAAAGTCACGTGGTCACTCTGCCGTTTATGTTTCACGTAAACGCGGTGCTAAATCTCTCTAATGTTAATAGGCCACCGTGGAGATGTTCTAAAGCTGGTGTTTCGAGTTTTCTCTGACGAAGGGCTACCGAAACGTCATCTTAAGAACATCTTAGCGGTTCACAATCCAAATTATCGACAAAGTTGTGGGAACCAAAGCTAACCGGCGTGGCAGAGTTTGGCAATTCGCAATGTGACAGCGAAAAATGTAAAATTTGTGAGAATAGTAGCTGTTTTTCGTCTCTAACGCTGGTTCTCTTTTAGCTCATCTTTATCTCGTTAGTGTTTGCGTGTCCTACAAAAAACCTAACTACTACCTTTTGGTTTTCAGTAAGGCCATGTGTTTAAGAATATTTATTTACAAACCGGCTTTCACGACCTATCGAAGATCATTTAACAGACATCATTTTGTTCTAAGTAACAGTACAATTACCTGGATGTTTATTCATGGTGTCGAGACTTGTCGTAAACACATGGCCGCCGACATTCAGTTTCAACATCTTCGGAAAGTGAACATGTTCGAGCTTCTTCGCCACTTTATCGAAGGCTTTCTTCTCCTTGCGAAGCTTGTTCGTCTCCCGCTTCAGAATGTCGTGGACGTCATTAATGTGCTCTTGGAGTTCCTCAAAGGCTCCATCGCTGAGTGAATCCTGTGCATCCTTTGAGTTACGGGTTGAAGACATCTTACTTGCAGCAGACTCAAGTTGCATCAAGACTTTGCTCCTCTCGTCGTCCTGCCTAAGTTCCTCGTATATATGACCCGTCGGTTCTCGAATTGCCAATCACGAGTGAATTACGCATACTGTTACCTATTTTTCACGATTCATCTCATTTGTCACCTGTCACGTCACGTTACAAAACACGCGAAGCAACGATAATCCAGATTTCAGCTGACTGAATTGTGGAATGGTGCGAGCTGATCAGGGGAGAAAACCCGAAAAAAGGCTCGATCTTCACTGTCAGCCAAAATAATACAGCAAAGCCATCTTTCAATGCAAAGAGACCTGAAAATATAAGTTAGTTTTGTAAAGAGCGTTTTTGTCGAAACTTGTCGCGATTGCATGGATTTCGTTTCAGTTCTCTCCGTTATTGGTTTTGTAAACTCGATTTATTATACAAACCTTTCCTAGACTACTTTCAACTGATTCACGTTAAAAATTTCGCTTGTTTTTAACTTTCAACTTAAGTTAATATGTAGTGCAAAAATAGGAGACATAGGAGGGCTGTTGAAAAGGTTCCAACAGCCGGTGCACTTCAATGTGATTATTATTAGATACTCTCTTAAGTTGATTGGTTTGAATCGCTCGACGCGATTGATTTTACAAATGAAAGTGAATTCTAAGCAATTTATTCCCTTACTCATTACCTCATGTTTCAGGATAGAATTAGGAAGCAGACTTGAGGCTAAATAGTTCAAAAAGCAGTCAGCGCTGATCCAGGAAACAGGGCTCAACCCAGTTTAAATTTTTCGTCTTACATCTCCCTGCCAGGAAAAACTTAGTGGAAATAGAATGTCTGAAATTTGAGCAGCGCAGCTGTAAAAAAGAATACGAATCTATGTTAATCATGCTCACTAACCCTAGGGCAATGTTTAGGATGGTTTCGTCGCCTAAAACCAGCTTACGTTGTCCAAGTGATCATGAATGGTGAACCTCTAGGGTGAGGGGTCTCACCCTCCCCTCCCCACTTACAAGACGGTAGGGTGGGGTTTAAAATTTGATAATATTGTGTTGGGGACCATAGCTTATTGTAGTGTCGCAAAGTCTTTAACTGTAACGGAACAGACTCCAATATACAAGAAGAGTTTACACCGAAAGTAGTCACATTCCAACGTATCTAAAACGTCCTTAGGCTTAGCAGCCAAGCCTGCAATATCCATGGATACCCGGATATAACACTTATGGTAGACTCTCTCTCATCTGTAGTAACATAACCATGGTCATTACACTCGTCATTGTCGTAATCGTCATATTGAGCAATTATTGGATGAAGTTGAGTAACAGTTCTTAAATTATCAAAACCGAGGTCTGAGTAACAAAACTAAGCATTTGTGAGCGGACTTGTACGGAGGACATAGCCTTGAATGAACACTTAAAATGATGTGTATCACCTTTATTACACTCTTTACTGGGTCGTAGTCGTCATAATGAGCAATTATTGGATGAACTTGAGCATGATTTTTTGAATGATCAAAACCAAGGTCTGAGTAACAAACTCAATCATTTATTGGATATTGCCTTTAATGAACAATTAAAATGTGTATCACCTTTATTGAACTCTTTACCAAGGGCTTTAAATGCAAGATTGCATCGTGACCGGTATAACTACAAGAGCTAAACTCAGACAAGAAAAAGACTAAGGCCGGATGAAAATCAGATAAAATCCTCATTAGAATATCCTTAATCCCAAACAGATGTCAGGAAAATAAAAAAATCATGTTTATATAGAATCAGAAAAAGTTTTTCCTCTATGTTGTCTATCTAGGTATCTCCTTCGAAACAGTCTTCTCACTCTTCTTTCAGTAAGGTCTTTGACTTTGTACAGTGTGAGACATTCTAAGAATCGTCAAAAAACGACAGCGCTTACATTCCACTGATCACTATCAGAATTCCAAATTAAACTGAGAACAAACGGGTCAATTTCTGTGACGATCAATCTGTTCGCGCGTCTAGGTTTAGAGCGACATTTTTAACCAACGTGAGTTGATTATCTATTACATTACACGGACATATAATTAATAATTATTGGATGAGGTTGAACATGATAGCGATAATTATCATGGCCAAAGTTTTGTGTTATCTGCCGAAGCCGAAGGCTGAGGCGGATCGATAACACAAACTGAGGCCTTGATAATCATCGCTATCATACGAAAACCGAATCCAATAATTGCTTTATCGTGCATATTCCTGAGCGCATAAAATTATTGTCTGTATGTATAAGGTCACTTCTACATATACAAAATCTATTGTCTGTCGGTATGACTAAGAGAATGTATCATAAAGACTATTGATAATTGAATCTGCCACAGCCACAAAATTTATAACAAATGTTTTCAATTCTCGAATCCAAAAACTTCCACTGATTGACAAGAAATTGTTTCTTTCCTGTTAGAAAAGTGGTTTCATGCTGCCCCGCTGGACACTGATATGCATAGTCGAGGTGAGTAGAGCAAGTGTTAATATTCGGTGCGCTGTTGATGATGATATCATAATCACCCGTACCCCCAAATACTGGCCCACAAGCAATATTGCACAAGATAAAATATCCTTCTTGACGCGGTCTTAAGGACATTTTTGTTGGTGACAGACCACTTGGGTTGACAAGACTGAATAGGAACGAGTTTTGTGCTCTTTTCCACCCTGAAGAACCTTAAAGGAACAAATGTCATCAACACACTTTCATATCAAGTGCACTTGCGATTCGGTTTATAATATCAAAACTAAGAAAGAAATCTAACAAATCATCTTTCTACAAATTGCTTCAACGATACAAATTGGTCTCGAAATTAACCATTGGGAATACAATTCTACTTGCAGAAAAAAGGGTTTGAAAAAATAGATAAACTCTGAAAGAGAAGGACACATGAATTTTTTTTTAATTCAAGCTTCGCCTCAGTTCCTCTAATTCAGTAACTAACCAGAATTACTCTACAGAAACTTAGAGCCGCGGCCTTAAAGACAGAGACTATACGGTTTTGTTACAACCCTACCATTCCACTGTTCTTCAGAATATCCACCAATTATATAATTTCCGCTCTTTATCACTGTAATCGTTGGTCCCTTGTTATCACAGCAGGAGTGAAAGTTGGAGGCAGCCCAGCCATCACGAGAGGCACGGTACAACAATTTATCACTGACGTTGCCCAGGCCTGGGGTGTTCTTCAACCACATCATCAAAGTTTTGCCCTGGTCAGTTGAGAGGATCTCAGACCCCTCGAAGGGGGACGTCAGTGCCTTTATCATTCCTTCAACTTGATAAAACTTGGCCTCGATCAGCAGCTCAAGACGAACAGTCTCATCGTCAGGGACGACAAGTTGCCCCGTGCGCAGATAATTCAGGATGTACCGGAAGTGGGTTCCATCTCGATCAATGAAGTAGGTTCAATCGTCGTCAGGTTTGGTGTTAAATCTTTCGGAAAACATGGCGTGTAACATGGAACCTGGATAAATAATAACCAAAAATCACATTTAATTCGATACAGGTCAATATACGTTATTAAAAATCAGATAACACTTTGCATAAGTTCTATGAAATGTTTTTCGTTTGTTTCTCAGTGACTCTATCTGTTGCTGCAATTACAAAAAGTTTCTTTCAATTTTTTGATGTTTTTCTAACGTGAGAGACGTTTGATTTTCCATCGACAGTGAAATTTCATATGTCTTCAAGGCATGTATGTCATGGTCCGTGCATTTTGCATTGTGCTCACCTTGTCTAGTCTTCTTCGCAGCTTTTGTTGGGTCTCGTCACGCAATATGCTCTCTCTCCCTTAGTGGGGGGAGGGCGCGTTGCGTGACTATTTCAAACAACGCTTAAGAAGGAGACTGACCTTTTTCTGGTTCGTCGGTCTTTTGCAATCAGTATATATCAATTTTGTCATCCTTCACAATCCTCGTCCCCTTTCGTTTCCCTCCTACCTATCAACTATTTTTCACGAGACCGAACAGATTTTATTTTTCATAGTTTCGATTTATCTATGGGACGCTTATCATGAGTGACTCGAAATAATGTGACGCCAAACTGTCTTTCTTAGTTTAAGTATTTGATAGTATTGTTAGTTAGCCTAAGTTACCTGGATCTTTCTTCATGGTCGACAAACTTGTCGAGAAAAGGTATCCTCCAACATTCAGTTTCAGTATCTTAGAGAAGTGAACATGTTCAAACTTCTTCGCTACGTCATCGGACGCTTTACTTTCCTTGTGAACTGTATTCGCTTTCATTCGCTTTAGAACGTCGTGGAGGCCTTCAACGCACTTGCGGGCCGCCTCAAAATCTTCCGCATTCAGCAAGTCGAATGCTTCCTCGAGCTCTCGTGGCGAAGACATCTTCTTTACTAAAACAAAGCAGGAAACCTAGGTGCAGACCTTTTTCAGATAGGCAAAGCGACTGAGAACAAAGTATTTTGGGAATCATATGATTTCCGGGAAAGATGGACGATGAAGGTATTACCCTAGTGGTCACGCGACCCGTAACAGACCGCATTTCCGAGAATTAACGCCCCGTGATGCAAGCGGCTCCCTCGAAGGAACGCCTTCTCTCTCACTTTCTCAAATAATACTGAGGGATACAAGAAAAACCTGTTTATGTTGCCACTTTATTTAGAACTTTTTTAGCTTTAACTGCAGCGGAATCAGCACTGAAGATCAATTTCTAATCTGTTCCTGTGTTATCTATCTTCATGTACTTGCATAGTTCCTTGATGTGCTTTACCGGTTCTTTCAATTTTTGTCCTATTGCTGCATTAACTTAAAAAGCACCCCCTTCGATTAGGCCCAGGAATGCCGGAAAGCTCACAATATCAGTTTGTTAGGGTAGAAAGGGGGGAAGAGGTAAACTCTAATAAAAGAAAGAAGGGAGAAGATAAAAAATGATTTAAAACGACAACAAAAAAGTTTACAAAAAATATAGAACCTTGCTGATGCTTCTGTAGATTTTTGCTACTCTAACATCTTTTTCTTTATCTTCAGCGGAGTACCTCGCGCCCGCGTTGTTTTTTCTCCAGTCAGTGCGGCTACCAAACACGTGATCAGTGTTAGCCTTCATGACGTTACTGGGTGAAGAGTCTGCAATCGTTTGGGTTTGAAAGCAATTGGGAAAATGAGTCTTAGCGTTTTAATATATCTATAGAGAGGATCGTCGTCTGCTTGATTTCCCTGATTCTAAACTTTAACGGGTGCACAGGCCAATGAGTCATATGAAAATCAAATTAAAAAAAGAAGAAAAAAAAAAAAAAGAAAAAAAGGAAAGAAAATACTCTCATATTCGAAGCTAGTTCTCCTTTTCAAAATGCCCAGAAATAGTTCCGCGCGGCTGGATGACATTCCTCACGCAATCTGCTATTTGATAAGGAATGGAGTAATTTATTATCATTTTTTGCCATGTCAAAAGCGTGTAACCTATCTTGCATTTCTGTCCGATAGAAAACAACACTTGCATTGAGCAGTCTTTGCGGTAACCAATAGGATGAATGTAAATAAATGTGTTAATTAAAATCACTGGAACTGTCAGTAGCATTGGTTTTATCAACTGATTTGATAACGACAATTGGCTTCCGTAGAGGGGTTCAAAAGCTGCCGTTTTGAGTTCGCTCCGTGATGATTCACACTATGAAATAAGTTGAGAAAACTGAAGCTATTCAGCTCGGCAGAGTTGCGCAACTGCCGTGATGGCCGCCATATATTTCTTGTAAACATACTGTGACATATCAAAATGATCGTGTTACGCGTAGAGCTCTTCGCTGACAATGTCCCTTGAGATTGCTTTGCAAGGTGAGAGAGCATCATTCTGATTCCTCGTAAGAGAATGTGAGATCAATAGCTTTCCATCACCCCCCTCCCCTTACACTAGTTAGGCACAAAAGAGTTAGCTGTTGTGACTGACAGAGTGTCAGGGCCTCCGAGCAAGAGGGAAGTTTAGGTGATGAGTGTTATAACGTCGAGAAACGTATGGAAAAGAATCTCTGATGCTAATTTATTGATGTCAGTCGTTTTTAATCAAAGTTACAAAAACATGTGAATCTCATCAGAAGTACGAACACATACGGGCACGCACTGTCATTCAAGTCATAGACAGCGTAAAGGTCTTAATAGTCACGGTTATTATAACCATTCGAAAAGATACAGTTATACTACATCGAACTAAACCAACACACAGTACGTTCTTCCTACTCGAAGAGTTTAACAGTTTTCCTTTTTCGTGTTACTGAAGTCAACAGTATTTGAGCAACAAAAACTCAAAAAGGAAATGAAAGACAGACTATAGTTTACAAACCAAGAGAAAAAAATCGTTTTGTGTTCAGAACCGAAAAACTTCCATCTCTCTCCCCCTGAAGTTCTGACCTCCTGTCAAAAATGTGTTACAAGTTTGTCCTGATGGGCATTGGTAGTTATACAGATATGTGCTACAGTTGTTGGAATTTGGTTCATTGGGAATATGAAGATCACAATAACTTCCCCCTCCCAATACTGGACCATTGCCACTGTAACAATACATAGCGTATCCTTCTTTTCCACTCCTCAAAGCCATCTTTGTTGGTGACAGACCTCTCGGGTTGACAAGACTGAACAAAAAAGAGTTTTTGCTCTTTTGTGGGAGCTACTACCTAGGATTTAAAGAAACGAAGAAGCATACCAACCAATTAAAATCAATGCCTGATATTTTTTCTCAGAGCATAGAGCATAATCAAGCTATAATCCCGAAAATTCTCGAGCATAAATACGCGTTAAACTACATTGCTAGCACTTTTATAATGAAGTTTTCAGGGTCGTTTTCAGCAATAAATTATAAAAAGTATTTTTTTTTAATTATTTTTCCCTGGCCCATAATGCAAACTACTGGGTCCGTAAGTTACTGTGATAGCCATTAAGGTCTATTTATTTATAGCGTGCGCGGCTCAAACACGTGCTTGTGTCACGTGACATGATGTCAATTTCAGTGCCTAATAGAATCTAATATTGTTGACTTTAATTTAAGTCAAAATTTTGATCTGCTTGAAATACAAGGTCAGTGTTAAGAACTTACTTTGCTAATTTTGCTCAGTATATCCTCCAAAGATGTTATTTCCACTCTTTATCACTGCAAATGTCGGTCCCTTGTTATCACAACAGGAGTGAAAGTTGGAAGCAGCCCAGCCATTTCCAGAAGCTCGGGACAACAATTTCGCATCGTTATTAGGAAAGTCTGGGGTGCTCTTTAACCAATTAATCAAAGTCTGCCGCTGACTGGACGAGAGAATCATTGAATTCTTGAACGGTTCAACTACAATCGATTCGACTACTGGAACTGCTGGTGGCTTTGGTTCTAACTCGTTTATCATTCCTTCAACTTATAAAATTTGGCCTCCGCCAGCAGTTCTCTGCGAATGGTCTCGTTGTTAGGGACGATAAGCTCCCCCGTGCGAAGATAATTCAGGATAAAGCGGAAGTGTGTTCCATCTCGACCAATGAAGAAAGATCCATCCTCGCCGGGTTTTGTGTCAAATCTTCCTGAAAACATGGCGTATAACATGGAACCTGCGTCAAGGACTAAAAACGTATCACATCTGATCGTCGGGCAAATGTGCCAAATGACATTCCACTGTTGTGCGAGAGAGATGTGGGGATGGTAGGAACATTCCCCTTCAGTCTTTAATGCGTTCGAACATTGTGGAAATATCATACAATTATTTAATAGTTCGGGTAAAATTATGTATTATGCATATTTTTAAAGAATATGATGCTTAAAAATTCTTATTTACGTCTCCAAACTGGCTTCTTGTCCTCTCTTAACCCATTTTCTTCTGAGAAACTAAAATTTATGCATTGAATTAAAATCCGATTAAATCGAAAACATTTGCTTTTTGGTAAATCTTACATGTGATAAATTCCAACATGAATCAAACACAATGATCACGAGGAGAAAAAGGAGCTCTTGATGTTTGAACAAAGTTTTGTTGCCAGCGCCATAGGAAATGTAAAGAGAACTGCAGTGTAGAGAATGGGCGTTCTGATTTAAGAGTGCAAAGGGCTAGTAGGGCGAGTCTAGTTTTCTCTTGGAATTGATTAAAGACAATTAAAACTGGCTATTTCAAAAGTTTAGCGACGCATATGGACGCATAAGAGTCGTTAATTTGCGAATTAGCACAAGAAGCTACCACATTCGCTCCGACGAAGGGCTAACACTCGAAACGTCAGCTTTTATAATCGTAACGGTGGCCAATTTACCATTTCAACTTTGTTGATATATTCAAATTATTTCGTTACCCCCACCGACGCAGCCCCAAACAGTTTCTTTAGAAACTATTAGCCTTTATTCAAAGTAAAGAGGGTTCATCCCAAAAAAGTGCGACAAACGTTCCTTTAATTAAGGTACTAGTATATAACCCCCACGGGATCGGGGGGATTATGAAAAACAGAAATGCCAATGAGGGTTATCATATATTAATTTTATGGTGACACAACCAAAATCCTACAACCCTCCAGGCGATAATTGATTGGCCCCTAAGCTTACGTCATCCTCTCGATCGACCAATCAGACACAGCCAAAACCAAACGCGACTTGTTTACCACATCGTTTTCCCGCGCCTCTTGGGAGGCTGTGTGATCTATCCCTTTGTGTTCTCATTGGCTCCTTTCGATAGCTTCCTTTGTTTTGCATGGCTGTTGTGATAAACTGACACTCACTTGAAAAGTGCTCTATAATGCAGGCTTTTTACGACTAGATGTTATCAGCTCCTTTATAGCTTAGCCTTCTTGCAGGGGTAGTATTTTGAAGCGCGAGAACCAAGCGCGAATATTCGGTCGTTATATTGGTCAGGTGGAAGATTTTGGACGAGTGACGAAGGGAGGGGGGGGGGAGGGAGAGAAAAACCAGAAACACAAAATACTGCCTGCAAGCAGCCTAACTCCCTTGAAATGTTAATAGAGAGCTTTAGATTCGAGTACGAGAACGAGTACGAGTACGAGTTGACTAGCGTGCTCACATTGCGCATGCGTTGCTGTGCGTGACACTGTCACGGAAGCGGGAAACTCGTCGTCCGCCGCTCGTCGACAACGAGATTTTGACCAGAAGTCGTCCCCTAGAGAACGAGTTTCGAAAGGTGAGTATTTTGTATTTTAAACTTACCCTAGTCTTTTTCTAAGTCAGCAAAAGCAAACTTAAAGCCCTATACAGAGGTTTTATCGAATTGAATGTTATTACAAACCCTGATTTCATTCATATTTGATACTTTTTGGTCGACCTATTTTCACGAAATTCTGAGGTCTACACACGTAAACAACATATCGCCAGTCGAATAAATTTAAATTGAAAAATGAGAGCCTTAAAAAGCACTTTCACCCTTTGAATTTTAACCATACATGAGGGATATAAACAGTGAATTGTTGT